CTGCACCCTAACCACTGCGCCACCTCGGCTCTTAATATAGGTACATAATATAGGTAATATAATATAGGTACATTTTTAAATTTCTGATTTCTCCCTTCTTTGTACCCCAACTGATTTGCAATACTTATTGGCATCAGTTTTAGAAATCATACTCTGCATATTTATACTTCCCTTGCTGCATAATATGCAATATCTGTTTGTGCCAAGGTATCTGATATATACCAGATTCTTCAAGATTCTTACTTGAAAATGTAATTGGAAAAGAATAAATCCTGTGAAAGAGGAAGTGGCTCAATTTTACTCTGTATGCTGGGTGTATCCATTTTATTCACATTTCAATGGTGTCATCAGTTCCAGAGTTAGGAAATTGAAATATTGCCATTAAGACTGATTCTAAGAGGAACCAGCAATGTAATCTTAAACATCCTTGTTTAAAAGTAGATATCATTAAGTTCCTCTGGATTTGTTCCCAGATATATGCAAATGGATTGCAGCCTAAATGAAATTTGACATCAACAAAGCTGAATATTATATTTAGGGTCTGTGCAAAAAGGGAAATTACTTTCTTTTGCATTACTGCAGTCCTTTATATCCTAGGATTTAACCTGAATTTTCTCTCATTCCCTTCATCCTTGATATATTAAATGAGAGTTGCTTCTTATTTGTATGCTCATTCATCATGGTTTCTTAGAAGAGTATCTCCATTATGATCAATGGATCTTATCTTCAAGTAAGAATGAAATAAGATTTATTTGATTAAATGCCTTCTGTCTGATATATAACACACCTCTGTGTATCTTCTCCAATATAAAGTGGTGAGTTTCAAAGTTTTGGACAAAAAACTGGAATTGTGATGTTTTGGAACACATTGGTAAAACTTTTGGTGGTGTATTCTCTAATACACTATTAAAAATGCCAGCAGCTATTCTGGAATCAAAGCAAAAGATAGATAGATAGATAGATAGATAGATAGATAGATNCTTACAGAAACTGCCTCTCCAGTTAACCCTTATTACATTGTAACAGCTAAGGTGAAGCGCCTGTTGACGTGAGTGATGTTGGGTTGGCCACGCCCACATGGTCACATGACCACCCAGCCACTCCTCTCCAGCTGGTCATTATGGCAGAGAACCGGTTGTTAAATTATTTGAATCCCACCACTGACTAGCATATATGTGGGAAGGGAACCTTTACCTTTACCTTTACCTATCAATGTTATGGGATGTGTCTGTAACCAGGCTTATCCCCTCCTAAGTACAAAATATTTTTAAATAAGAAAAGGTTGTACAATGTTACAGCCAGATTTCTGTAATCATGTATTCCCTCATTGCTTGCTATTCTCTGAGTGACACCTTTGACTCTACCTTTCCCAGGGTTATTGCTCCTCATTTTGTTCAATGAATCAACTGCAGCATTTGTCATTTGCTGACAATCAAGGGAAAGCATGCTTCATTTTAAATGAGGGATAAGCAATTTGTCTCCCTCCAGAAATTGCTGAACTCCAACTCTATCACTGCTAGGCTGCATGGAGAGTGGTGAGGGATGCTGGGAATTGTAGTCCAACAACCACTGGAATACCACAGGTTGTCTGTTTTATGCTGGACCATAACGTAGTTTGTGTGTAGTTTAGCAGGATGGACTATGCTTTTCTTAATCAGTTAAAACTTTATTTAGTAATAATATAGCATATACAAATAGAAACAGAGGTAAAGATATACAGTATATTCCTTTCCCTTTTTTAAAAGGCACAATACTCTTTATTTTAAAGATATACAGTATGTTTATGTAAGTTTATTTCCCTCTTTTAAAAAGTACAGTGACAATACTCTTTATTGTTTATTTCACTGCTTTTTAGTCTTGCTATAATCCTTTTATTTTCTTGAAAACAAAGATGCATTTCTTTTTTTAAAAAGTGGTACCAATGAATGAACAGATAATTGCTGAGATATAAGATTATCGCTCAATATAATATTAGTAAATAATACCAAAATAGACTATTTTTATGAAAAAGAAGCATAATTTTTGAGCTTAATGCCAAAATCTCCATAGTATTATTATAGATGCTGAAAGAAAAGAAAAAGAAAACCAGCCCTGAACATAATAGCAGTTAGACTTATATACCGCTTCATAGGGCTTTCAGCCCTCTCTAAGTGGTTTACAGAGTCAGCATATCGCCTCCACAGTCTGGGTCCTCATTTCACCCACCTCGGAA